TGTCATACATAGTACACCCCATCATATTAGCTTCCCAGAGTTTGTTATGAACTTCTATGGAAGATATGATATTGTGTTATACCTCCTTTTCCTTTCTTTTCTTTTTTGTGCCATGATTTGCATAAGATGGAAGAGACTAATTCAGTCATCAAAACAATGATAAATGGAACAAAAACATTTCTTGTTTACATCTTTTCTCCCTGGCCTTGCTTGCTGGGCAACCTGTGGCTACACTCAAAATGTTGTTTTTGAGTTCTGCAAGCCTCTGCTGGTTAGCACAAGAATTGCAGTGTTGCATGCTCAGCTCTTAAGATCTCATTGATTTGGCAAGAAGTTTGCCAGTTATATGGATACAGTTGATGCTAACATGGTTCCAGCAAAGAACTGCTAGAGGCCATAGTATCACATCACTGTCAATGGTTTAAGATTTACAAGTTTCAGCTCAAACTGTTAAAATGCTGACTGTCTTTGCCTTTTATTTTTTTCCTTTTAGATCCCATTCCAGCTTGGATTGTCAAAAATGGATCTCCGAAAGATGTTAAAATCTAGTTTATCTGGGGTAAGTTAACGCATCTACTATAATCTGATTTGTCTCTGGAGACTGGTCTCAAATCTAGTGTTGTGATAACATAGTTTTTCTTCCTCAGGTTGACAAGTCTATTAGTGCAATGTATAAGAGGTTACAGAAGAACTTGACTTCAGAAGAACTATTACCTTCTCTGTGGGATAAGTGCAAGGTAATTCACTTGCTTAATATTTGAGGATTTGGTCTTTAATGTTTCTTGAAAATCATCTGGCGGAGCAAGTAATGGGTGTTTGATCGTTGGAAAGTTCTTGATCAACAAAGAATTTGAGTTCTGAGCAAAGTATGTAGTAACCTACAAATGGAAACTCAACTTACATAGTTTGTTCTTGAGAGTTTTTGGGGGTAATGGAAGGGAAAGGTGGGTTTAGAACCCCCAACCTTTATTCGATTTTCTTTCTTGATGAAGGGAGGGTAAGCACTTTGGAGGATAGAAAACCCACAAATAATAGAAATTGTCATCCATCCATCTTTCCCTTTGGGTGTTGAGGTTTGTTAAGACTCTTAAATGAAACAAATACCCTCAGTTTGAAATTACATAGTAATTACAGCCCCCTCATTAAGAATATTTTTGTAGTTCAGTAATTGATCTTATATTTATTGACTCTCGCATTCCCTTCTCATTCGCACGCTTTCCCTTGCACATCCAAACAGGGGAATGCTAGTAGATGCTGGCCAAGGGAATATTTTTTTTCTTTTTTCCGTATTGCAAACAGTTTGTGCTCGGATTCATCTCCTGATTATATAATTAATTGTGTTTTGCGTCTCATTCAGTAGACAGCTAATAAAGCCATATAGTTAATAGAACTACTTTTATCTTAATTTGACAGAAAGAGTTCTTGGACAAGTATGAAAGTTTTGCACAACTCGTTGCAAAGATCTACCCCAACGAGAGCATCCCTTCAGTGTCAGAAATGAGAGAGCTTCTGGCTTCCATGTGAACTTTGTAAAGGGTTTTCTGCTGTACAATTTTTATTCTTAAATAGGACTATGTTAACATACTGTAATTATTCTTTTTGGTTCTTGTTTTCAAGTTTTCCCCGTATGCGATTCATTTTCCCATTCTCAGAGTGTAGTTGAACTGGGTTGAGTGGAACTTTGTTCCTGGTGCAATATATAAACGGATTCAATTTTTAAACGTGCCTCTTTTCTGTCTAGCAAATTTTGATTTGTAATGTCATGTCTCAATCTCGGATTTGATTCGTTTGGTCGGAGGTAGTCGAAGCACGTAAATCACAGCCAGTGGGACATTAGATACTCGGCCTATAAGGTTCCCCACCCAGTTTCCGGTGTATGATGGGAGAGGCAGCCGAGTGGGTTTTGATGAGATTGAATTTGGGCCCAAAAGCTAAACAATTGGAGACTATCGGGTTGTGTTTACCGAGACCCGCCCAACATAATTTGATGAGAGGCTAAATAAATAAATAAATAAATAAATCACCTTATTGAAAGTGTTTATCAAAAACTGTTTATTTCAATTATATGCTAGTCTGATTCGATTAATACTCAAGTATAAATTGCATATTTTGATTCAAGTGAAAAAAGGGATCCGCATGAAGGAAAAAGGTTTCTCAAATTTATTTGCATGGTGCGAGCTCAAAATAGACGGGGAGGGTAAAAGGGATCTTGTCTCGTCTGAATCGCGGAGAGAGGGGACACGCTCGTGCTCAACCTCACCGATTTTAAGGAACATCACTCTCCCTACATTTTTCAGGAACTAAAGGGATAACAGCTTATTTTACATACGCAAGGATTATCTGAATTTGTTTGTTGATCTTATTTTGGAGATAGTATCATCTACTTAGTGGAATATGGCAAGATTTAGATGCTTAGAATCATCAATGCAGCTCTGGTTCGTGAGCTCTTCTTTGCCGTATATAGCAAACCACATAACAGTTGTCGAGGTTGATGTCGTGTGCCCTAAAACCCCAGCCATTTGATTGCTCCTGGAAAACAATGATTGTGAATCAATTTCCAGACTCCATAGGCATGTTCGCAATATCATGAAACTGTCTTTCTCAACTCGGTAGTTTTTTAACCACAAACAAATTTTGTTGGCTCATCAATATCTATATTCAGTAAACTGAGTTTGAGGAGTCATGGACGGGGAATTTTTTTTTTTGATGTATTATTAGCTACGAATGCATCATACCTCGTTCTTTTTTCTCACCATCGACATCTCACAGCAAGTAGCCTAGGAATGAGAAGTTGGTTTACAATTGAAAGCCATGGATATTGGGGGGCGTTTGCTTTGTTCTGTAATCTTGAGTAACAGAGGACGAAGGAAAATAATGAAATTATGAAGGCGGACACAATGGAAGTGAACTGATTCATGATGTTTGAAGGTAATTGGTGCCTTCTCCGAGTTTTAGTAGCCAAAAAAAATACTAAATTTGCAACAGAAATTTTTGAGCAAATGTTATAAAAGTTAATTCGATTGGCATGAGTGCTTCGGCTAATTGGCTCCATTCTTATTAGGGCAAGGTTTTTTGTTTATTTACACCTAGAGCTGGTTAGTTCTGAGTCCGCGTTTGGGATGTCACCTTACATAGATGTTCTAAAAGTTGTATTAACCTGGATTAACCCAAGTCACCTGCACTTGTGCTGGTTGATCCTAAATCAAGTTTTATAACTGTAATTTTTTGTACTGTTGGCCCACTGATCTAGGTTTGCTCCCATTTTAGTGCTATGTTCGCTTCAGCATGTAAGGAAATGATTCTCTATTGCCCTGGACTTGGTTTGTCGCTTAATGCCATGTTTGTCTTCAGAGTAGAGTTGCATTCCTTTAGTTCTGGATTTCTGTTTCAAGGATTGAGCTCTCGTGATCTTCCTTCCCATTTGAAGCAATATTTTTCTTACTGTGCAGTTTTTCCAAAAGAGTATGAATTTGACGACAAAGAGTTGGTTTTGCTATGAGCAGAGGGTGTTTTGCAGCAAGTGGAAATGAAGAAGGCAGAAGACTTGGGCATCGATATTTTCACGAATTTGAATTGCCTTTTCAACATTCTAATACTATTCCACCAGGGACTGGCAAATAGTACTTTGCTTCACCTCTTGAATTATTGCCCAAAATAGAGAAATGGTTTGGGGTTAGCCAACGATCATGTAAAATTGCATTTGGTCTACTCAATTATTGGGTCATTTTTATAAGTCTAAAAGCTTGATGTCCGTTCAAGTTCAACTATCTACTTTTCGTTAGAAAGGAGAAATGCAGGGCATGTGTAAGACCTCTAGAGAGAGCGGCATGGGCATCAAATGAGCTCTAAACTCAATTTCCTATTCTACTATATTCATGCTTGTCTCACAAGTCACCATATTTATGGTGTACAGCTCATTCCCGTCTTTTAAAAGTTGCAAATGATTGAGTTGGGTCTACGACAAAGTGATTAGCTATGAATCTGGACACAGAATAAGCCAAACTTGTGTTTAATGCCCAGTAACTTCTGATGCTGAGAGCTTACGTTACATTGGATGTGACGTTGGGCTCTTTTTAGCTTTTCAGAGAAGAAATTCTCGGGAGGCAATAAAAAATTGATGACTCCAGGGAGGGGAAGACTTCAAGTGGGAAAAGAATTTCCAAGGCCCTCTGAAAAAGAAATTCATGATCACAAATGGAGAGGAATTTACAGAAATTTACTAATATGACCATAGAACCACCGTAATAAATTAATAAATTGTACTTAGTTTAGGGTTTTGTTTTATAGTATAGTTTAAGGCTCTTAATATCTTTCTTCCAGGAATTTCCTAGCCATGAACGAAATACACCCTTCAAGCGACAGCATCAAAGAGGAGTTAACCATCAAGTGCTACAGTGATCGGTTTGATGATATTTAGTGTCAGAACACAATATAAATCATATTTTAATGTTTTATAGTAGAGTACTGGATTTTTCTTAATATAAGAACTTTCAAGAGTACTACTGTTTCATAATATAATATAAACCATTTTCTAGGAAGATTTTGCTGGTGATGATCACAATGGTGCTGTCGATGGCCTCTTGGAAGATTAAAAAGGGGATGAAATTGATCTCCTCAAGCAGAAGCAACACAAGACTACAAAATCCTGAACACAGCAGAGATTTCGACGTCATTGCATGGAGCATGATGTCGCTGGACTGTATATCTCCCGTCCTCTCTATATCAGAAAGTGAGGCAAGCATCTTACTCTGACATTACCATCGGTCTGTCAGTAAAGTTAATGACTAATGGTTTACTGATGAGTCTCACGTCCGTGAAAAAGTCGGCTTGATGGTCGGAACCACAACTTTCACGTTTGGTGGCAACCTTTGAAGCCAAAATGCTATCAGTATAAATTGTTCATATTTCTAGGAGAAGCATTTTATTTGTTTTGGGAATTGAATTGGGGAAGTGGGGTTGGTATCTATTAGACGAGCAGGTGAAGAAGAAACAATCACTGATTTTGCAACTGCTTCAAGTACTGAGAATTTTATTCAAATTAAAGAAAGGGACTGCCTATCATACATCAAAGAAGCTTGCATACAAGGAACACCGTGCTTTCCACTACGAGTCCCATGCATGTAACTTCAGGGCCCCTTAGCTCACTTCCTGTCAATTTTAGTACTGTATAGTTCATAGTGGCAGCACATATAAAAAAATGGGTTAAAATAAAAAACAAAATTGCTCTCATCTATGCTTTCCTTAATTCTATGCATGCTATGAGGAGGGAAACATAGCATCCATCCATCCATCCTGTAGCTACCACCTATCTTCCATGGCACCAGGAGAGAGTCTTGAGAGTAGGAATATACAAGCTGACGAAAACAGGACTGCTCCAGCAAAACAGGCAAGATCCAAACTGGTAGCCAATGGTATATTCTTGAATTTCTCCAACATTCCCACTTGAAGTATCATCATAATGGCATGCCCGATTTTAGACTTTGCTTGTGAAACTGATCGCATTTCAACCCATGTTGGGAGGGACTGCAAGAAGAACCAAAAAAATCAATATTTGGAATTTATGAATGAATTATTTTGGATTAATAATTGAAAAAAAAAAAAGACTCACCTTCAAAGAGAAGAGGCCAAACAAGTTTGAGTCTGGCAGCGATAACGCTTCATCTTTTGAATTCTTTGATCCCACAAACATGACGTACAGCCCGACTCCAAAAATAAGCATGGCAGTTCCTACCAGAAACGAGTCTGCATTCAAAATAATAATGGAGCAGGATGTAGTAAGAAAAAAAGAGAAGAAACAGAACCATAAAATTGGTTTTAATTCTAAGAAAACAAGAGGGATCGAGAATATCTACCTATGGCTTCTATAAGTAGATGCACCAAGTGTCCTTGATCTGAAACTCGAGATAGCGTGTTGAAATACTGAAAATATGACTCCAAAATAAGAAAGCAACCCTGCAATATTATGATATTTCAAAAAAGGTGGTATTAATTAATTATCAGCAATATTGGAATATACGTACAAAGAAAATATCTCTTGTTTATAAGAAAGAAAATATCACTCAAAAATATATTTTAACTTCTAACGAAGATTAATTAATAACATAATTAATAAATAAGATTTTAATAAAAAAATAAATACTTTTGTAATATAATTAGACAAATATTTAATTAGGCCAATCAAAAATAGAAATAAGATGGAGAAAATAATATTTACCTCCACAAAACACAATGTTGAACCAAGCAAAGACCCCGCAACAGCAAATAACGTGAAGAATCGACAATCAATTATAGCCTGCACAGTTGCAGTCGATCAATTTAAATTTACCCATTGCTTTATAATCACAAGTCTTTTTCCCCACAAAATGCAAATTCATGCATGCCAAGCAAAGTTAGTAAAATAAAGTTTGCATGCAAGCATATTGAGGAAATAAAATCAGTTGCTGAAACTCAGAAATTATATGATATATAATGCATAGAAAAAAGCTGCAGATCCCTGCTATTGTATCTGGTCAAGTGCTCTCCTAACGTAACATGAAAGCATGTGTGTGAATAGAGTGCCCTGAAAGTGTAAAATCTTTAATTGCTAAATTGGTATTTTAGTAATATTGTTTTTTAAAATATTATTTATTTAAAAATATATCAAAATAATAATTTTTTTATTTTTTAAAATTTATTCTTAATATCATAAATTAGAATAATTTGAAAATACAAAAATAATAATAAAAAACAAACACAAGGGTGCCAGATGGGCGATCATACAACCATGATTTTCTGCAAGATTTTCCCATTGAAGTTTTGAACCTTTCACACCTCCACACTTTTTTGGGTCTTTAACAACTAAATTGTGAAGGGTGCATGAAAAAGTCTTACCAAAAATAAATAAATCAATCAATCAAACCAAAAAGGTTCATGGATTGATTTTTTAAGAAGCAAAAAAAAGCTCCAAATCAATTACTAATAAAAAAGAAATTACCTTCTCAATGAGCTTCTGGACCAGGAATTTCCACTTCTTTGAATATTTCAAAGCCGGTGGCCTCAACACCTTAAGCAAAGCATTACTAACAGTAGCAAGTAAAGAAGCCAGATCAATTAATCCTCGCTCAACCCTTGGTGGCTCTACGGTGAGAAAAGAGCCCTCTGAAGTAGCCACAGATGCTTTGACAGCTACCGTGGATTTCCTTTTATGATCACCGTGATCCCTAGAAACCATCCTCTCCCCAGTGATCAACCCTGTAGCCTTGCCAACACATTTTACTGTATAAAATGGTGAAGAAGTTGCGCTAGGAGGACCAACATGACGCAAAGGCTTAGACGAACGCAACAACCTTGTGGTTGACATTGTTCTTTCTACCTGGTTGCTCTTTTTTGGGTTTAATTATGTTCTGGTGGCTTTTGGTGGGCTATATATAAGCATCGAGAAAGTTGAGAAGAGAAGATTCGAGGCATATTAGCTGTTAGTGTCGCTACGTGAAGGGGGGCTTTTACACTTTTTTCTTATGGGACACCACAATTTTGCCCATAACCTATAAATAATCAATTCTTTTAATTTCATTTTGAAATAAAGAGTTTTTTTACCAATTGGGTCCTCTAACGTCCTCACACCTTTCTCGAGCTCCTTCATTTTCTATCTAGTGTGCATGTTTTATTCAATAGAACGGTAATCTCTCGAGAAAATATTGGTGAGTACAAATAAAAGTATCAAATCTTGAGTAATCAGGGGCCTGATTGATGAATGTTTTAGTTTTAGATAAAATTGAGAACGTAATAAATTTGAGATTTTTTTTGTCCCCTTTGTTTCCTTGGAGAGGATTGGTTTGATTTGTTGAAGTTTCAACCTCACGTGCTGTTCTTCGTTCTACAACGTGTGGCTTCAAATGAGTTGTGAGCCGAACACTTGTCAAACAGCATCTTTTTGGGGACTTTTACAGGGTATAGTCGGGGTCGGCTTTCCATGAAGAAGAATAATTTGTTCGGTTCTTCGAACGCTGGCGTGCAGAATGAACATGATGCTTCCGTCGAGGAATAGTTGTCGGCGCACATGTCAATAGTTGAACGAACAAGAATGTTAGTTTTGCCACCATTTGCCTGGGAAGCTCATGTACTTGTCTTGATCCAAGGCTAGCTGTTCCTTGTTTTTTTGGCTTAGGATTAAGGATTAAAGCTTAAGGATTAAGGTATATTTGTAATTGTAGTAGTTGTTAGGATTTAAAATAATTTTTTATTTAGAAATATATTTAAATATCTATTTTAAAAAATTATTTTTAACATTATCAAATTAAAACGATTTAAAAATATATAAAAATTTTAAATTTAAAAAAATATAATTTATATCATATTTCCAAATAATATTTGGCTAAGTAATTAAAATATAACTATTATTACTTTTTTTTGGAGAAAAAGTCAAAAGAATTGGCTCAATTAATGAGGTCGAATTATACATGTATTATTTTTTTAACATTACGTATGCAAAAATAAAAAATAAAAATACCTAAAATTTTTCTTTAAAAAATGTCATAGAATTTTATTGATTAAATAGAGGTTTAATATCATGTTATTTCATGTCTTCAAAAGCCAAGTTAAAAATAAAAATTCAGTCAAGAAAAAACACAACAACACTCTATAAAAAGAAAAGAAAAAAGTTAGATTTTTTCCAATATTAATAATTGGAAAAAATAATTTTTGAACGAGAGAAAATATTCTCTTAATTTCCAAATTTCCATCCACTCCTTTGAAATTCCCAAGTCCCAAGGCATCCTCTTAGACACAAGATTTAAATTAAAGCACAAGAGTCAACATTTTTAATTTTTTTTAAATCGAAAAACTTTTCAAGGGGAGTTTTTGTGAATTTTTGTTTCATGAATCCCATGAACTCTATATAAGAAGTAATCAAGTTAAATCAATATCTTACAAAAAAAAAAAACTATACACGCATCTCATAAGCACATCATCTTGGACCTTGCAAAAAAATCTTGCTACATGCACAAGCCAATGTCGACATCCGAACCTTTTTCATAGTACAATCATGTGATAGATTAATTGATAGTCCCAGAGACAAACACACGTATCCATATTCACACTCCATTGTAATTTATATCCTAAATTTTTTTTCCCAGTTGTACCTAATGTTACAATTTTTGGTTTTTTCTAAAAAGTCTCATTTGTGATGACCTAGATCCTAGGTCCATCATCAATAACATAGAAGCGATATTATAAGAATATTATATTTATATTAAGTTTCATAACACAGGTATCATAAAATAAATTATTTAAAAATTTTATAATGTTTTATAATTTTTTATAATTTTTTAAAATATAATATTTCTCAAAGTAATAAAATCAAATTATCATCAAATAGAACAAAATCAAATAATTCATAAAATTTATTATATTAAATAAAATCCAATCCTTGAAAAATATAATAGTGGAGCATATAAAACAACGAATCAAGAACATTTAACAAAGTTCCTTGCTAACAGAAACTAAGAGTCTAGAATAATATTAAAATTAAAGTTCCTTGCTAACAGAAACTAGGAGTCTAGAATAATATTAAAATTAAAGGGTGGCTTTAATCAATTCAATGAGAGAATAACATTTAATATACATCATAAATATTAATAATTTGTAAGTTATATATATCTTGGTATAAATATACATACTAAAAATATTAACATAAAATAGTAAAATATATATCGAAGATTAGCTAACACTCAAAAGTGACTAGATGACATTCAAAGATGATCACTATAAGAGGATTAATCGCCACAAACTGGTGTCTTTCTTCCTATCTAAGTATATAAAATACTATGTGTACATGAATTAATTACACTTTGTTAGTATGGAGTTACTAACAAATCATATATCAAAATGTAATGGATGTTTGTATAATTATCAAAGCAAACGAATGTCATATTGAATAGAATTTAATTTAACAAAATGCGAGTATAAATTCAAAAATAAATGAATACTCAAATAATAAAATAACATAATAAATATTCAATAATTAATTAATTGTATTCGTCATATAATCAACGTACATATATTATTTATATTATATGCATATTAAATATTATTTTTCTTATTCATAAAACAAAAGCAAAAGACAAACAAATGCATAATCAAAAATTACTAAAGATCATTAAAAGAAACGTTAACAGAACCTATAATAAAGATGGATAATACTAAAAAGCGACTTGAAAAAAAATAACATAAAAGATTAAAACTCTAAACTTAAAGATCAAAACATAATTATAAAGCCAAATTGATTCTTAATCAATTTCCTAATTGAAAATAACAAAAGAGGAAGATACTATATCTTCAACCCTCCTTGAACTAAAATTTAAGTTCAAAGCTTATTTCCTTAGTAGTTTATGAGAAAGTAATGGTAGAGAGAAGAAAAGAGAAAAAAACAATTCTCAAAGAATTAATTTTTTCTTTAAATATCTAGGTTAGCTAGGTTGAGTTTGGATTTAGGTTTGATAAGTAAAAAATATGGGTTTTACACCTTATATCATGGATTTGAAATATGAATATTGCTTTTCTATATTGATTTTTATTTCAGAGCTAAAACATAGGGTTTTTTTTTCTCCTCTTATTTTACATTATAAATTCTAATTGTCATAATTGTTCGACTTGATTGTAGGTCGATGAGTAAATTCAGATTTATCTCAAGAGAATGTAATTTTAATTTTTTAAAATAAAACAACATCATTTACAAAAAAAAATATTAAAAACTAAAACAATATCATTTTAAATAATTTTTTAAAAAAACTCTTAAAGATGACTTAGTCGAGTATAATTTGAGTTTAACTAAATTCAACTATAATTATGGATTAAATTATCATGTCACCTGGTTTTTACCAATTCGATTTTATTGATGGGTCAACATGCATTTGATAATTATGATAATTATGTTAAAACTTGATATTTAACAATTGAAAAGAGTATAATGAGTGTTTATGAGTGTTTATATTCTATCATGAACTTGAAATATAGCTTGGGCTTTGAAAATGGAATCTAAATATAGCTTGGGCATTTGATATAGCTTGGTCAACATGCATTTGATAATTATGATAATCTTCTGCCAAATTTCCATCCTTTCATTTGAAATTAAAAACTTTTCACTTAAAAATTTCAAGGTATTCTTCAAATACACACGTTGTATAGAGAGTTGTGTATGTTTTTGTTAAAAATAAATAGTTTTACGTATCTAAATATTTTCTTGACCTTTATCTTTTTAATTAGTAAATAAATATATTTGATACACATTTTACTTAATTTAGCATCATCAAGTATATAACAATTCAACTCTTTTATAATCTTCTACATCATATTGTGAATTAGTCTGACATATTCATATATTTTTTTACCTTAATCTTTTTAATTTACATAAACATATTTATTATACATTTTACTTAATTTAATATCATTAATTTTGTATCTGACAGCTCAACTCTTTTACAATATCCTATACTAGATTATTATTTAGAAAAAAATCAAAAATAATTTTACAAGAACTGAAACTTTTTATAAGAATTTTTATTTCATGAAATCTATGAGCTCCAAACGGCAAGCAAGTTCAAGGAAATATCTAAACAAACACTACTCACAAGCATACCATCTTGTGCTGGCAAACAATCTTACTGAAGCCAAGTGTGAACATCCGGACCTTTCCCATAGTACAGCCATGGGATTGAGTGATTTACGGTGCCGAGGACGAACGCGCATGCCCATATTCACCATCCATTGTCATTTACGGCCCAAAAAACGTGCCAAGTCCTATCTTATCTTACGATTTCTTTTGTTTTTTTCCCGTGAAGGCCTGATGTCATGTCGAGATACCAAGGATTCGAAACACGATTATTGCTCTTCTAGATTGATTTTTATTCCAGCTATAAATATCGGGCTTTTCTCTCTTCTCCTTTTATTTTGCTCTTGGAATTCTAATTACTGTATGTTGATTTTTCAAATTTAAGAATTGACCAGCTAGAGTATGATGATCGTTAAAAAAAAATATGTCCTGTTTTCCAGCTTGGAGATAGGCGAAGACCAGGACTTGAAATGCAGTTTGGGCTTTGGGAATTGGACCAATTTATCAGGCCGGAAAATTTTATCCAAGCCCTTATCCGGCCGAGGTCTAGAGGCTCAGAAATAGCTCTGATCCAAACTCCCATCTTCAAAATAATCAATACTGGAGATTTGTCATTGGACCCATTCTGGGTTGAAAATCTCTGAGAGAGGTTCCTCAAAGCTTAGCTGTGATGCGACCCATTCTGGGTTGAAAATCTCTGAGAGTTTCTGATAGAGTGAGAGGTTCCTCAAAGCTTAGCTGTGTTAACTTTATGGTGCCTGACCACAATCCTAAACTTATATCATTAGCGACCTGTATTAGTTTATCAGGAAAAAAGTGACATTGCATTTTCAAGGAAATGGTCATCAAATATCAAATAATATTAGATGATGATACTGATAAAGTAAAATTTCAAAGGCTGATGACAACAAAATTCTAACCAGGGAAGGTTGTGGAAATGGATGGGAGGACGGATAGACGATGTTCAACCTTTAGAGATACAGACAATACCACTATAGAGAGGATGAACAAGGATTTAAACTCTCAAATCTCATTGATACAGAGACATTATAAAGAAATTAGTGTTTAGGATAGCTCACCACTCAATGGAATCTACCAAAGAGATAGAAGTAAAAGAAGCTAACAAGCTTAACTTGATCTTAACTTCAACCAAGTCTCTATCTTCTACATTGATGAAGTGCACACTAATTTTGATTGGAATAATCCCTTCAAGCTAGTAAGGCCAGTAAAATCACAAAACATGAAGACCAGATTATCTACACCTACACACGTTTTATCGTCAAGCTAGAGCTCTAGAGTGGCTAACATAGTTGTAGGAAACAAGTTTCTGCAAAATCTGTCATCCGATGATTTCCTAAAGGAAGTCAGCTTTTGTTTGGTCTAGAGATTAGATTTACGGAAGGAAATCTTATCTTTTCATTGCCTAGCAAAGCTTTTCATGTGCAGCTAAACAGGGAGCAAGATTGTTAAAGCTCCATTAAATGCTAGTTGAAGAAGATGGCAGTCTTGCAAGTTGCAAAATATGGCAGCAGGATTTTCAGCTCTGCTGACAGCCTGCTCTTGGGAGTAAAATGACCATAACTCTTAATAGAGAGCTCTAAATCATGCACCGTTTCATGCTTTGGAAACTAGACACATGTAGCTTTCTCGGTTGCATGGGTTGCCTAGTGTTCTCTGCAGAATCGATACAGGGTTGCCTGACAATCTTGATTTCTGAGTTATGAGCATTTTCAGCTTGCTCAGTCCTTGTTTAGCACCTCTTATCTCATCTACATGTTTCCAAGTGGATTTTGGATTTGTTAAGAATGCTCTTGCATTAGATACATCTATCAACATGTATACACGGTTATTTCTAGATGTATACCATGTATTATCTTCCACTCACCATTTACTCCATAAGTTATGAAAGTTTTCACACCTTTAGACTATAAGAGTCACATCACTGTAACTAATTTCCGTTTTTCTTTTCTTTTTTGTTAGTTAATTCAGGCCCTGGGGTCCCAGGGCCTTTTCAATAGCACTGATCATGTGAGGCTTCAGAAAGATATTTGTGATATGGGGCTGCTCCTTTGTGGATAAGGCCTGAGTATCTTGGAGTTATGGTTTCAAAGCAGAGTTTGTGCCTTGCTCTAAATTAAAACACCTTTGATGGTGGAATTCGCCAATTGAAGCTTAAAAGGAATTTGAAAACCAATAACCCCAAGAAATATATTCTTCAGTTTTCGCCATCTCTCATGTAATGGCTAGTTCTCTGAGCTTCTTGTCACAGCCCAGAATTAGACCTGTAACCAAACGTCCTCCCAATCCCTCAAGCTCGTTTCTTGAACTATTGAGTGTTAGCGGTAACAGTTTACAGGTAACAAAGAACAAAGATTTAGCTGTGGTTTCAAGAGCTTATCAACGAGAAATTGCTGGTGTTCAAGAAGAGAATCTGGTGAGGCCAGATTTTGAGCGTTTATGCAAAGAGGGGAAAGTGGAGGCAGCTCTTGAAATCATGGATGAAAAGGAGAGGAATGGAGGTTATGCAGACTTGCTCGATATTGTAAAGTTGATACAAGTTTGTGCTGATTTGAAATTGCTGGAAGCAGGGAAAAAGGTAGATGAGTATGTTATGAGGTCTTCATCAAAGTTCAAGTCCAGTGTTGTTGTGCTGAATAATCTAATGGAGATGTACTGTAAACTGGGCAATACAAATGGGGCAAGAGAAATATTTGAGCAAATGGGAGTGAGAAATTTGGATTCTTGGAACAAGATGCTGTTGGGTTTAGCAGAGAACAAGGAAGGAGAAAAGGCTCTTGAAATCTTTTCCCAGATGAAAGGAGATGGGATTAGGCCAGATGGTTCTAGCTTTGTTGGTGTTTTAATGGCTTGTGCATGCTTAGGAGCAGAGAAGGAAGGACAGAAACATTTCGAGTCAATGAGCAGGGATTATGGAATCACTCCCACGGTAGAGCATTATGAAGTTATCGTTGATCTTCTTGGAAGAACGGGAAAGATAGCGGAGGCAAAGGAGTTAGTTTCAAATATGCCAATTGATCAAAACTCCAGAATTTGGGAGACTCTACGGAAGTACTCCAAAGCCAGAACACAAGGGCAACCGGGTTATCCAGTATCACCACCTGGATTGAAACTTGTTGACATGAAAAGGGCAAAAGACAACACCAACACAAATCATAGAAGAGTGACTTCAGACAGAAGCAAGGCATATGAAAAGTTGAGGTCTTTGAGCAAGGAGGTAAGGAATGCTGGATATGTGCCGGACACAAGGTTTGTTCTTCATGATCTTGACCAAGAAGCGAAGGAGAAGGCATTGTTCTACCACAGTGAAAGGCTAGCCATTGCTTATGGGCTTATCAATACACCTCCTGGGACCACTTTAAGGATAATGAAAAACCTAAGGATTTGTGGGGACTGTCATAATTTCATCAAGATCCTCTCCAAAATCGAGGACCGAGAGTTTATCGTGAGAGACAACAAGAGGTTTCATCATTTCAAGGCTGGAAACTGTTCCTGTCGGGATTACTGGTAGACTACCAAATCTTCACAATTTTCCCAGTGCATAAATATTTACTCTATGATTTGGTGATGGCAAACTGGTGCCTTAGCATAACGAAGCATAATGTTGCTTCACATTGGTTCATTACATATTATTGACTCAAATAGAGACGCTGCTTGTATTTCATAAGTCATCAACATGATCACCACATGGGTGACAGCAACTTGGCTTTCTTTCTCTTGGCATTGCAGTGCTTTGCAGTAGGATTGGCCAGAAGTTCTGTTCTACTCAAGGCTGTGTTCAAGTTTAAGTTATGAAAGAGAGAAAAAACCTCCTTGTGTTCAGCATATAATATTTGCATCTCCATCAACTTGTTCTCACCCCCCACAAGTTGATGTGCCCCTGCACGTCTTTTCAATCCCATGGGCTTAACTTGTCTCATGATCTCATCCATTTCGCCATCCTGCTGGCATAACCTTTCTCTAATTCTCGTCCTACTTTACAACATCAATCATTAGAAGATACATATTACTTTCCTGATTTCTTTGAGACAGATTCAGAGCGCGGTGCTGATTGAATTTGGATTGGAGGCATTTCACAAGATAATTTTTAATTTTTTATGCATTTCTTCTTGAGTAGTTCTGGGATCTTGGTCTTTTGGGTTTTTGTCCTTTTGCTTTCTTGTATCAACTTAACTAATTACTCTCTTTAACAGAAAAAAGGGTTCTTAGGAATCCAAACCTCTGATTTTATTGAATGTGTGTTGGATCAATGCTCTTTTTTGTCATTGATGTGCTCTGTTTACTCAAATTTCCGTTGAATTTACTCCAAGATTTCAATCTGGGGACATAATTCTATGAGAATAATCGTTTTGACTATTAATTTTTTCTTTAATACATTGATCATGTGAGTGTATGAAAACAGAAATAAAACTACCAGTTACAATGACAACCACTAACCTCTTTATCTATTGAAAGCAGAACTACGAGATGCAAGTACTAAATTTTTTATAGCAATCAACATCCTTCGTTGCATGAGCAATTGGATCATTTTCCAGGATTGGAACTTGAGACAGCAAGCGACGACCTAGTTATAGCGCACCGTGGCGCATTCTAAAGAAGATTCACCATGAAGTATAATGCTGAATAAAGAAAGGTTAATCATTAAATAGAATATTTTTCATATAGCAATTATGCGCACAGAATTCTGTCCCAAGATTGAAATCTAGCGATAAATTCAGAAAAATTTGAGTAAACAGTGCACATCACAGACCCAAAAACATTACTACAATATATTTAACCCACGACTGATTGAATCAATCCGGGTTAGTTGATTTAGTTTGGATTAATTTAACCATATCAATCAAATCAAATAAATTTAAATTAATACTTTATAGTTTAACTAAAAACCCAATCCAATTTTGTGTCTTTAATTTTTTTTAGTCAATCCCGGGTTTAATAGTACGGATATAATACCATAAAAATAGCCCAGCCCATAATAATCTGGGTTTGCAGATTCTAGGGGCTCGGTTATTCATCTGTGAGCGTGCAGGACTCAACCTTGTTTACCCAAGGGCCAGGTTAGAAGATGAGCTGAGAATGACAAGATGCTAAAATTACAAATTATTTATCAGTAGTAAACACGGTTTCTATTTAACAATTAGTTGAGATAGACTATTTGATTGCACTCCTGAGTGATTCAAACTATACCATTGATAACCAGTTCATGGAGTAATGCAATAAAGGAAAGGAAGGAAACCCAGAATAAGATACACAAGACAATAGCAAGCAAGATGAATACTGATTGATTTAATTGTCAATCTAAAAAATTGTATAGCAATTCTCATCTAGAAAAAAAAGAAAAAGTTAAGGAAGTTATGTGTTGATCATAAAGTGATGCAATGTAACTTTACAGTACAGTTCTATGAAAAACTTTCACTAAACTTTTAGCTGGTGTCCTCACTTTTTGGGGTTTGGAAACGTTTGGAGTGAGCTAAAGAGCTGAATGATAAAGCCTGATCAAGTACAGATGATTCTTTGGAATTGGAACTGGCGATCTTCATTGCAAAACATCAATAGTTCTCTGCTACAGGTCTAGAAGGAAAGAGCCTCAAAAGAAATGTCGTCAATGACCATAGGCAAACCAAACCAAGGACTTGGAAGGTCACTATCATCGAAACTAAGGCATTGCTTCTTTCCAGTAGCAGGGCAGATTCAGGAACCCCTCTCAAAGTGAACATCAATTTCTCAATAAAATGAGCAGCTTTTGTCAGCTGATATAGCCTATAAACCTGTCAAACCAATTCAAACTTTTAAAACCCACAAATTTTGGCTTCAAGAGGGTAGGATTGCAGTAAATGAAGTCATATACCTCAAATATGATGGGGACTAGAGGCCAACAAGATGAACCACGCTTGTCCAGATAAGTCTCAAACAGACGCTGAGCAAGGCAGCCAACTAGGAAGGGAAGCACAGCAACCAATGCTGGCAAGCCAAGAACTGGCCAGGTCACAAACACAGCAAAGAGAGGGGCAATAACCTTGAAGCCCATAACAAGAAAGGCAGATGTCAGGTATCCTCTGAGGCCTGTTATAAGACCCCACCTCTTTGAGCTAAATTGCAGATAAGGCCTCTGAATGCGATCAGTCACAGCCAAGAAGGTTGCAAGACCAAAGTAAAACATAGCCTCAAAAGATAATGATGTCGCAATCTCTGCAAAATAATTGGCATATAAGATGCTTTGTAGATTTCTTTTTCCCATCTTAATCATAATAAATGCACACTCAAGCAGCGTCAATAAATCATGACATTATTTTGACAAGATTCGGGCACTCTTTTTTCAAATACAAAGTATCAACAGTAGATCATCATATTGAAATAACCAACCAGGTTTACCCTGAAAGTTGTCGACAAGACAACAAGCAATTCAATTGCAAGGCCACATAGCACAATAAACATCTAATCAACGAAGTGAAATCCATTGCATTTTCCTGTAACACCAGTTTGGCACTCCGATATTAATCCAATAACCTCGGTGACTGTTAAGAAAAATGTTTCCCGGACCTCACAGATTAGCTTGGTTAGGGTCTTCCAAAGTCTCAAAAAGTGAACTCGGTTCTTATTGAGCACAAGCACTTCCCACAAACTCACTAATGATAGTCAGTGGAGACAAATGCGGAGCAACTAGGCTCCCCACTCCCCCAACGTAAAAAACAGATCCTGAAATCCAAATCAGTCATGCTCGAAATTGACAATAGGCACTTACAATTTGCAATGCTATCTATATTCCTATAAAACATAATCTTTCATGATAAATTAATGGTGTTCAGATTGAGCTAATTGGCTAAAAACAAAAAAAGCATCTCACACATATGAAGCAAGCAAGAAAATTAAGAGGAGATTAATTTCCGCATTTCTTTTTTGTGCTCAGTCAAATATTCCAGTTCCACGCCACTTTTTAAGAGCAAATATTGCAAGAACTCAAACTGATAAGTACCTACAAGAACTTCATCCTTGAGGAAAGCCTCAATGGCAGAGCCAAGGAAAAACTGAGGCACAATCAAAGACAATACCAACGCAACTGGTCCCAATAACCAAACAAACGAGCCTTTATCTTCATTAAAAGGTGCTGAGACCAATCTCTCTTCTTCCACGGACTGGTGAGTCAACCCATGAAAAGAAACAGAACCTGATTTACCATTAAATGGCTCCACCCCATTAAAACTACTAGCAGGCACACCCGAACCTTTCCTTCTCGAAATCTTTAAATCCGCATCAGCATTAGAATTAGAACTAGAAGAACCACATATCACAACTCTGTTCAAGCTTGACCCAGAAAACCCCTCAAATATATTCTTAAAACCAGGCTTCACACACACTGCAATAAGACAAAAAAATAACCTTTACTTAGAACATGGAAACTGATTTTAATCACCAATCAACTAGTGTGAGAAAGCAAAACATACATTTTGATGGGTTTTTAAGCAGGATTCTGGGACATCTCAGCCCAGCATAGCTTGCAGGTATCTTAAATTTTGAAAGATAGATGATGAGTTAGAAAAAGTCTACGTACAGGAAGACACAGCCCAAGCATAAATTTGAGCAAATGTACTTACAATTTCGTTTGAAAACAAACGCTTAGTTGATAATCTGATTTTTGGGGCAGTAATTCCGGTGCAAACTGATTGCATTTCCATGTTTTTGTGTTGTTGTTAGGAAGTTAGGTTGTAAGGTTTTACAGGTGCTTAAACCCTAATACACTAACCTCAATAAAAATCTGTCCCTTTAAGGAGATGAACACGTGCGTGTCATTTGTTAATACGTGATTGGATGTTTTTTCTACATCCATTGGGCCCATCACAACTTGTTCTGGCCCAATATCTAATATTCAGCTAGCCCAACCTAAATGGAACAGAACGAAAATTTATGTAAACTAACTCTAGTTGTCAGATCCTAACTGGACTATGACAGAGTCCGGGTTAATCCATGTATTACTGAGACTATAGTTTTAAAACCCGGTCCGGCCCGATGGGTTGACCCGGGACCTGGCCGACTCGGGGCTGGAAACGGGCCGGGTTGATGAAAAAATAAGGTAAGCCATGACCCGGCGTGACCCGGACGACCCGACGGGTTGACCCGGAACCCCGGAC